TTCTTTTGATTTCACTTCACTAGGAGTACCGTTATTGTCTCCGTCAATTTCATCTTCATCGTTCTCATTCAGAAACATCAAATTCTCAACACTTGATTGTTCATCGCCGGTTAGTGGCGGTGGGAGTGGCTGAGCAGATGGTGCCGATTGTATGCTCAACATACTTTCTGCTGATTGGCTAGGAGATATTATAGCTCGCCCAATCCCAGGGGTTCTGAAATCTTTCATCGTGATGTCCAGGAATGGCACAAATAGGGAACCACAATAACAACACCTATACAGATGGGAAACAATGCAAAATAAGAGCTACTCCACATTGAAACATGCTGCCTGTTGGCTGAGATAGCTCCGCTGTTAGCAATAATGCACATTTCAATTAAAGCAATCTGAGTTGCTGTGTTCAACAAGAATTAGAAAATATCACTTTCTACCAAAAATTACAAAAATATTCACGAAAATTAGAGATTTAAAGATATCATCATGAAATGAGCAAATCTAAGAGGTCCACATGTAGTACCTATATATGTATTTTTAAAAGCAATCAAACTTGCTTGCGGTTTTTAACAAGAAGTCAAAAATATCACTTTTTACCAAAAATATTCACAAAATTAGAGAATTGAAGATATCATCATGAAATGAACAAATCTAAGAAAGGTCTACCCAAGTTACATACACACCAAGTATCAAAAGCATTCAGACTTGTAGTTTCTAAGAAGAAGACGAAAAAGTAAAAAGTTGACACGAACTACGACAAACGATGGACAATCATATGATAAGCTCCGTTTAATTTTTAAAAGTAAAATTAGCATTATGGGTAAATATAAATAATGTCCTAAAACTTACGTAGTATTGAGATTTGAATCATCCGCTGACCAGCCTGACATGATGGCTTCATCGTACAACACACAGCTACATGAATTACATCGCATACAGCTTGTAATATTTACTTCCATGGCATACGTAAAAAGACTCTGAGTACTGGCATTCAGCTTGGTATTACTCCCATCCGATTGGTCAGCTAAGGGGGCATTCAGTGATGGTGTACTCCCTAGGGGTGCAAAAAAAAAAGCATGAGTAAAAGTGAGGCATCTGCCCCTTGCACAGCTTTCAAAGGTGAGGATATTGACAGCCAGTGCAATGTAACAGGTTTTATTAAGTCATTTTTTGTTTTCAAATTCATCTGAGATCCATACATGTATAACTCACAAAGCACACATTTTTATGAGGCAAAGGATTAGTTTCAGTTCAGGAAAACCCATTTGACAAAGAGGTGGAGAGTGGAGACATATTAAAGTTACAAGTGTATATATAGAAGTATACAAGTGTTGTAAGAAGTGGTTTAGGAGAAGAGCACAACTGAATATAAAACAAACACAGCACACAAGTCTACACAATTCTATGTACGTTTCAGAATTGATATTAAAGGTGACAGAGAGCTATACGCCACCCATAATATACATCTGTATAAACAGTCATGTGTTAATATTGTTTCATTTAACATTGATATAATGGTTTGTATTTATAAAACATAAATTAGTTATCACATTGCAATTTGTTGTTGCCAGAGCAGAGATAAAGTCAAAATACTGTATACTGCTTCAATTGCATTTTTGCATGTCAGTGGAAATCGCTAAATTTTGCAGCACTGACAATTTCATCTTCAAAAATACCATAAAATCAACAATCTTAGCGGAGAAAATTCAATGATTTCCAGTATAGCATATTTACATGGATTTACTTCCATAGCAAAAGTAAATTGTAAGTAAAATTAAAGAATTCTACACAACACAGAAAAACATAGTACCCATAAATCATCAAATGCACAACACAATCGAGATAGTTGACATATTTTCTCTGTCAGCGCAATCCATGAATGAAAGCAAAACATGGCAGATGAATTTGTAGATGAATAAATAATTTCACAATTGCAATCCAAAACTTACATGTAACTTGCATTTTCTATGGAATCACTGCACTCTAAAGTAGCTAATTTGCATAATATCAGCAAAATACACGATTTAATTCTTTCATAGATTTCAACGTTTCGGTTATAAAAATAAATAAATTTTCAAACCCCCATGTCCGAACAAAAGACTGTAGCATATATGGAGTTCACTGAAACACAGGAGTTGATAAACAGAGAAAATACTACAACAGGTATTGTCTTGTAAACAGGTATGAAACATAAGTAATAATTAGAGAATAGAGAAATTATTGTAATAAGTGTACACATGAGTGTACAAGCACCCATTACCAAAACACTTTACTTCTCACTGAACAAAAATAAAAAAAAAAAAATCATGTTATATAATAATAATAATAAAGTATACGTTATGAAAAAAATTCATGCAGATTTGAAAATTGACAGTTGAAAAAATAAAACAAAATAGCCGTTTGAATAAAATCACAAAAGATATGCAATCAGTAAAAACAAATCAAATTCAGACTATGAAATTGAGTGTTATTTGAAAAAAAAAATTTCTGTCAGTTTATTAATCATCAAAATCAAAAAACAAATTGATGTGCATAATTATAATATTACATGCCATATTTGAAGTAAAAGCATGCCTACAAAATGACATCAGACAAACTGATGATGAAAAAACTATAACTGTAAATTCCTGCTTTCAGTGCAAATGGAGACTTTATAGAAAACGAAAGCATTGTTATAAGTGTATTGGAATGTAGATCCCATCCAACCTTAGGCTGTACTATCAAACACAATAACGAAGGTTATCATAGTCATCATAAGTTATTTATAATTGGCAATGTACACTTTCTGAAAGTGTTGATCCATCAATCTGTATCCCTGGATTTCTGTACCCCCTTCCCCTCCAATTTGACAGTAAATTATATTACACAGGCTTTGCCACAACACAAAATAGATAGATAGTAGACTGGGTAGTGAACAGGACCAGCATGCATTTCAGGAAGTAGCAAGGAAGGAAAGAAGAAAGAGAGAGAGAGTAATCAAGCATGCAGACATTCACGATGTACTCCCTGTAGTATGAGTTGACGGATAGGATGGGTTTCAGAATCTACATGTTCCTTGAAGTTGTATCTTCTACCGCACATTAAGACTGATCTGAAGAGACTTACCTGTAACTAAATCTGCAAAAGTAGAAGGTGATTCATCCATTAACAAAGTGCCTACTAGATTAGTGTCACTCTTACTATGGGGTACCCACGTACCATGTTTGGAATCACAGTCTTCTTTGAATGATAAAAGACTGCCAGTTTCTTCTACATCTTGTGGAATACTAGATGTTGACGACTTTGTTGCAGTTGACGATGTTGATTTCTGTTTAGCATATCCAAATTTATTTGCCATGGCGCTGGCTGCTGCCTTGATGGCGTCTAATTTTGATGTTGACCCACCAGCATCACTGCCTTTTTTACTGAATGGGCTGCTCCCGAACCATGTTGTTGTTGGCGGACTGGTCACCTGTTGTATCAGTCCTTGTAGGAAATGGCTACTGAAGTTTCGCGGTGGAGTTTTCATACCTATCCTTTCTGATGGGCTCTCTGGGATAAATGTAGGATTGGGCAATGAATGTGGTATATCCTGATCATCAGCCTGCCACTTACTATCAGTGTGTTCTTCAAAACTTGACGAAATAATCTGAATGTTAGTTTCTTCTCGAAATGGTTTCTGCTGAATAGATATAGAACTGCTTCTTGACCGTTCATCTTCATCAGGATTTAATTTTCCTTCATCTGTTTCAGTGCCATCACTTGAATCCCCACTTTTATCTTTAGTTGGTGCCAAATCATCAAATTCAAGCAGAATTGTGTCTAAAGTTGAATCTACCCTTGGCATCTCGCCGTTTTCAGACTTCTGTTTTGTCTCAGGTTCAGAAGTGTCACTGTCTGTTCGCTTTTCTTTTGCCTTCATTTGCTCCTCTTTTTGTCTTTTATCACGTTCCATGATAATCCTCAATCTCATTGGCTTTTGACCTTCTGAGTTACACCTTCTAATATGTGACGGCGTGATTTCCTCTTCTTCCTCCTCCTCCTCCTCCTCCTCATTATCTTCCTCTTCATCAGCATCAATATCATCATCAATATCATCACCACCCAAGTCAAATTTAGTTTTTCTTTTCGAACGTTGCTTTTTTTGTCGGGAAGAATTCAGTTTAGGATCTGACTTTCTGAGTGCTTTAATTATGCGTGCATCACTTCCAAATGAATCGGCTTTAATCATTCCAGGATCACTTTCAAAACTACTATTATCTCTTAAGTTTAACGTCAGTGTGGCAGTACTATCACCGCTGAAATTACGATTACGCAACATTTTACGGGACAGTCTGCTGTGATCTCCAGCACTTTTGTGTCTTTTACGGGCCTTAGCATCATTAGATTCAGGTGTGCTATCAAACACACTGCTTTCCTCCAGGGAATTCTGACTTGTTAATAACAACCCTGATGTGCTGCCTGTGAAGTAAATGGTACAAACTGATCAGTGGGGAAATTAATAGCATTTCTGTTATCACTCAACTCTATTTTAAAAAAGAAAATATCTACTTTTTAAATCTACATAAAATCATTTTTATTGGCAACGAGATCTGATTAATATCATATGTAGCTAACATTGAAAATATGATATTGGCACTGGAATACACACAGAAATAACTAACCACTTTGAGTATTTTTAGTTGAAAATCTAGCCTGGTTACCTTATTATTTTTATTATTATAATAAAAGGAAGGTAACCAGGCTAGTTGAATTCAAACCTTCAGTCAGTATGTGCTCATATGAGCTCTATTAAAAATACATATCCAACAGATACAAATAAAACAGTTTGGGTTGGATTTTAAACCAAACTTTCACTGCATTTGATGCTGTTAAACGTTTAAAAAGGATTGTGCATAAACATATGCACACATCAAATAGAGCAAATACTGTATCTACAATTCATTGTGGGTGAAAAATTCATATTGAAGACATTGGTATTAAAATACAATTCTATTGTAATTCACAACATTGATGGTTGTCAACTTAGTTTAATCTCATGTTATTTATAAAATAGTGTTAATTCTAGATGTAGGAATCATTTTTCTTTTTCTATCGATCACATCTTTGCTCTCTGAGGAAAGGATGTAGATTTCTCATTGTGACGTATTTGACCGATTCAATTGATCACTTTATGAATTTTGCAATCGGAAATAAATTGATAAATATTGAAGATACAGCAACGTTTGTAAAATCTTGCCCTCACAAACGTTTTCAAATTATGAAATAGCAAGCATTCCCAGCTACCACGTCATTCATACTAGGGAATCTTGTAAAATGCATAATTTCGTAAAAAATTGTGTTTGATATGAGTACAATGCAAAGCGAACAATGCAGGTAAAATACATTGTTGCACTTTAGAATTGATTTGAATCAACATCAATAAAAGTCTGGCAAACTTAACTAAATCCTAATTGACAAGTTTTGAGTTCCTCCGCTCTGGTGTAAAGATAATCTAATTTTGCACAGATGGCGATGTAAATTGACACTTGTCTATTGTGTTGCATGATTCATACGCATTACAATCACAAAACATTTGAGTGCCTTGAATAGGTGTCAACTTTCTTTGCATTCTAAATTTCATGTGCAAGACGAAATAATAGCGGGTGGGTTTTGTTTTTGTGGGTGAAATAAACCAGTGAGTTGATGTACACACAGAAGGTGGAAAACCATGTGTGTTTTCAGTTATTTCGAGAAATTACAGTCCTTGGTATACACTGTCATCATACATGCAATGTGTAATCATGGACAATGTTTCCATCAAGAGTACTATAATGTATAAAGTCAACTAAAACTTAATAAAGAATCAAGTTGTGTGTGAAGAAACATCCACATGACTTTGTGAATGATATTCGGCATTCCTGTCAAAGGCTGGATTGTACTTTGGTAAACATCGCCCCCTCCCCCCCAAAACATGCAGTATTCATTTTTTCAATCCCTCGCTTTTGTAAAGCGCAAACAAAATTTTCATTTTCAATAGGTGATTTTCCGTACAACTGCGAGATCTCGCGAGATGCATGAAAGACGCGCGTCGAACGTCTGCCGCAAAAATCGAACGATTTGATTTTGAACTCGAATTTCTTTATTTCGTAGCGCACATCGACCAGCCGATCTTCGACAGAGGAATATTGCATTCGAATATCCTCACTTAGTCGAAATTGCCCATCATCAAATGTGTACAGCACATTATTGACATGGAAATGTTCCCCAAAATACTTTCGCGTTTGTCGAATCTCACGCGATGTTTGACGCCACTACAACGCTATGACCTTTGTTTGTCCTGTTTTTACGTTCGATTTCACGCACAATGCGTGATTCTCGCAGTGAACGGAAAATGGTCTATTAAGTAGGAAGCTCAAAGAGTTATGTAATCATCGTTAACTTGTTTACATTACCATCTATCGAGGATTTGCTCTGTGGCTGGTTTTACATACATGTACATGGAAAGCATAATTCAACTTTGACCTTGACATGTGACCACCTTATCAGCCGCTAGCAGCATACATTACAGCGTAATTCACAATGCATGTTTTTCTACAATGATGCCATTTAACAATACAATGTCATGAAATGCAACATTATGACAAATAATTGATCTAAATTTGATCATGTGATCCTATCAATTGTTCAAATATTTAGGGTTCGGCAATCATTTTTCATCATAGTCATGGTGCTTATCTTGTAATACAAGAGGTTGTTAAGATTCCCTCAGACAACTGAAAGCTCACTGGATTAATAAGGTAAGTGAGATAATCCAGGTAATATAGCAGATCTGGTAATTGCCATGTACCTTATGTTTTCATTCAATATTGAGCTATAAAGTCAGTGGGTACTGACCAAATAATTTCATATAAATGGAGTCCAAGGAATCTTAACAAGTCCCCCAACTGTCTATATCTAAGTGGCTTACTTGTACTGCCACGTAATGTTCCGATGCTACTGGTACTGCCAAAACTGCCGACAGAGTTGCGAACTATACTGCTGACCCGTGGCCTGAAACTATCAGAGCTGTTCATGTCTACTGGTCCACTCTCTAGAAGTTGGGCAGATTACATTCAATGTTTTAAACATTGCAATCCCTTTCAATTGCACAAAACTACTGTTAGGTAACATGCTATGTAATAACGCACAATGACCGACGATACCCAGCCATGCAGCCACTGAGTTTTGATACAAACCAAAATGCAGTCCCAGTGGATGGAATTCCCAGTGGTGCATCATAACATGTTATTAATAGCAGTAGAATTGAAAGAGATGCGGATCACAGGAATTAAAAAAGAATCAATAAGAAACGTGCTTGTGCTAGGCTGATGATTATCTACGTTTATCGAGCACTGTGGCTTTTATTGCGCATGCAAAGATAGTGAGCAGCACAATAATAGGAAAGCGAGCATGTCCACAAAAGTCATGAAGCTATCAAACACTAGCCAGCCAAAAAAAATTTCATTGCAGGGTAATCCCTAATTCTTGTCCACAGGTTTTTCTAGTTACAGCAGGGAATGCTGGGAATTCTAAAGGGGAATACCCACATGAGTAATAGAGTACTCCAAGGTATGATCCCAGATACACTGACGCTATGACGATCTGAACGGGTTACAAAGCAGGAAACTAATCAAAAAATAGATGAATTTTGGGGTCCCTGGTTGCTGTATTACTGAGGGCACTAACAGTGTCAATTTCGCATCAGTGGGTGTTTTTGAACTTAAGTTTTCTGAAGATAAACAAGATAGCACGGTCCAACACATATCTAGCAATGTTCAGATGAATACCTACAAAGTATTTTGTCTTTTTTCAATACCGTATTTGCTCTATTAAAAGCACATCTCTATTTGAAGGGAACTTAATTTGCATTCACTGTATGCTAAATAATGCAAATCTGTTCCATTTTGATCATTTACATAAGCACAAGCACTTTTAATAGAGCAAATAAATACATTTATATTTATATATATTTTAATATTTGATGAAATTTTGTAAACTTTTGAAGGCATTGTGGATGCAAATTTCTGAAATTGAGTCCACATTTATCATCACCTGCATCCCCTCGCTCCCATCCCGATTACGAGATGAACACTGCCACCTCACACGGAAGCCAAGCAACCAGAGAACCTGAAACTGACTATTGTTTATTCTGCCACACACCACACGCCAAAGTTAGAACAGAGAAACAAATGAGGTAATTGAAAAAGTTAAACTTATCAGTATATTGGACAGGATTTTGAAGTGAAATGAATGAAAACGGAATGAACTAAACAGATATAAACATATTGTTTTATGTGAAAAACATGTTTTATAAAATGATTTGACTACCTGTGACAGCGACATTCGATTTACTCGTTTTTTTCTTTGTCTTAGTACCCAGGGCATCATTGGTAGATTTCTGCGGTGAAGACGGAGACATTGTTGTCAAGCTGTTGCTACGACTGGCATCGTCAATTGACATAGAACTATAACCCATATCAGAGTGTCCACCTGCGAACCAAATGAGATGGGAGATGCAGTCAAGTGAAGCACAAAAAAGGTCAGTACCAGTGAGTACAACAGTAAGTACGCCCTCTACAACAAATCTCTTAGCCATGAGATCCTATGTCCTGTTAATGAATTACATTCCTCTAAGGAGTTTAACCTACAGTATAGAACACTAGATGGCAGCCAATCGTGTGATATCAACAGTATGGTGGCCAATCTTGTGATATCTACAGTATGGTGGCCAATCTTGTGATATCTACAGTATGGTGGCCAATCTTGTGATATCTACAGTATGGTGGCCAATCTTGTGATATCTACAGTATGGCGGCCAATCCTGTGATATCTACAGTATGGTGGCCAATCTTGTGATATCTACAGTATGGTACTACAACACTATTAACCATTCTAATCTGACCATCCACTCTGACCTACCTGTGCTCGACTTGTCCTCCACTGCTACCGGTGAATCTAATTTAACAAGATCATTGACAAATTCTTTATTATCTTCACTGCTAGTTCTTCCAACGCCATCTGCATAACTGCTCTCACTGCTGCACAAACTGATTTTATCCATGTCGGTTTTTACACAACGGCGGAACTGCGCTACTGCCAAAATAACATTACGCAGCTTTGTCCACAGTATATAGCCACTAGTAGTAGTAGCTGGCCATTCATTTTCCAAAACAGCCTAGAAAAGACACAGAAGAGCTACAGTGCTAGCAGGACATGGAGAATGCAGTACAAAACAGATTTGTTTAATTCAGATTTTAACCTTTTGAGCACCACAATTTTCCCTTCAAAATGTGCAATATCATGGCACTTTTATGAACTATGCATTCATATTTACATTCTTTATTTATAAGTAGTAATAACGCTGATAAACAATCAACAAGTTACACTACAATTATTCAAACAAGTGACACATAGTCCACAAAGATAAAACAACATCACAGTACATAGTCAAATCAGTGAAAGAAAATGAAATAGACTTCACTGCAAACATTGAATGATGTCCGGCATTTCTAGAACAATTCCGGCAATAAGCTAGATAGGTTAACAACTGAGGGTTGCAGCTCATTTTTGTAATTGAAATTTTATTTCCAAACAATTTCTTTTATTTAAATAGATCAAAAACAAATTATTTCCTAATGAGATGATTAAAGTGCAATAAAAACTATTTGATCAATCTATTACTACCTGTGTATCAACAAATAAGCATTCCCCTCTCAATTACTTATTATACATTTTTCAACCATGCCCCTTGCCTCTCAAATAACCTAGATGTAAAGAAGGTCAGTGAATCACAGCTTTAATTTAAGTCTAATTATTGAAGTATTTATAATTCATATATATTTTCAAGGTTGCCCATTAACCTAATTCCTGACACTAATAACTAGCAAAGGTCTTGAATTGACACGCATATTAAAATTTCAGTTTCATTGATTGATATCAAATCCCACATTTTCCTGAAGTGAATTACCGGTAGTGATAATTGCGGTTGGCTATTAAAAAATTCACAAAAAAATCATTGTCATACTCTAATACTGAATGGAGTAATCTGTTCTCTGTGAAATTCCACACTTTTTGTGGGTTTATTTCTACGCATAACAATGTGCTATATATATTTGATTATGGCCAATAAGGTAAGTTTATCTCAATGTCATATTCCTTGCTGAAAGATCTACATTTTGACATTGAACTATAGAAATTCATGTTCAATTTGATTTTTGTGGCACACATCTGATCCACATCTCTCATTTATTCTGCATGATCTTGCACTTAACGGAAAAGCACTTTTCATATTACACCCACCCACACACACACGCACGCACGCACGCACGCGTACACGCACACGTGCGCACACGCACGCACACGCACACACACACATACAGGTGTCCATGAATTGTGGAGCCA